AAGGTTGTTATTTTTTAATGTTTATAGGCAACGTCAGAATTTCGAATCAGCACAATTTTATCTTTTACAAATTGGTCAGGTGTGGCCATGTCGTTAGCGTGTTCAGACTGTGAATCCGAGTGTTTCCGGCTCACCACTCCGTTATAAAAAAAAAAAAAAAACCGAACGTTCCGCACTTTGAGACCGTGGGTGCGCAATAAGTGTGACGGTCAAATTATAGTATCCTATCAGGGAAAAGGAACCCAGGTGTTGGCGGTGGTTACTGTTAACTAGTTTTCTTCCCCTTTAGTCTGTCAATTCTAACTAAGTGACTCGCTAGAAATATTTTAAACATTAAGACAGGAACCAGTAATTTATTCTGTACGGTTAACTTCCAGGATTTTCTGCACTGTGTGTTGTCATAAGTTTGACTCGTGCCACTTGAACACGAGCTTATCTCGTGCTTCCAAATATAAAACATTTTTTGGTTTTCTTCTTGCTGTATAAACATAAGTTATCGTGAGAATGTCAACGTAGAAAAATGTACGATTGTTTTTAACAATGAAGAAGTGCAGTCTTGGTATGGTAGGCATTGAGGCAGTAAATTTAAGACCTGTTTGGCTAAAAAAACCTCTGTTGTGATGGATGAATGAAACAGTTTTCACACATTACATATAATTGTTCATGTACCATAAACATACGTTCAGTTCTTAGGACATTGTACAAATGATTACTTTTTTTTTCAGAAGTAACCCATAAAGCGACTGCTGTGGTAATTTGTATCCCTAACAACATTGGGTAGGTGAAGAGTTCGAAATTAAGAACGATAGTTTACCACAAAATACGAACAAATCAAGCTGAAATACACGGTTACATTTAAAAAAAAAAGTTGAAAGCCATTTCATTTATAAAACTCCTACCCACTAAGCGTCTGTTATTTAGCATTTGGCAAGAAAATAACGTTTACCTGAATTCAGTCCTGAGAAATTACTAATTTATAAAATAAATATATTTTGAAGACGGTTAATGTTTGGTAAGTTTTAACTACAGTTAGAGATTCTGCTCCAAATATGTTCACACACAAAATACACTTAGAGATTATGCTCCAGATATGTTCACACACATCTGAAAACCGTAAGATTCTGCTGAATGATATTATAATGTAGGTGTCAGAAAATTGATCATTTAATTTGCATGTTGGAAAGTACTTGTTCAAATGACAACTATACGTCGGTATTTTATCTAATCAAAACCTGTAACATAGAATGTGCTTATTGATCTAACTTCAACATTAAAATCCACGTTAATGTTCTTGTATCGTATCCCCAGTTGATTAACTGGTGTTGGTATATTGTTGTCGTGGGTGTTAATTCATTTCCGAAAGAAACTGTGCGACCTAATTCATTAAGCGTGATATAAGGAATTCTGACATTATGGTGTTCTCTTTATGTAGAGAATCTGAAGATCCTTCAGTAGTGTACTCGACGTAGGAGTTAAGTGGATCATTTCTCCTCCTTTAAATGAGTAATAAGAATGGTATATGCTCCATAACTTACTGATTTCATTACGCAAGACCAGATTGTATGTCGTAAGGAGGGGAGGTGTTTATGCTTCTAACATAGTATATTATGGATTTTTATTAACAATAGACGGAACATCACATATAATAAAGTGATGGCAAAACTTGTTGAATCGTTGTTTAAAACAACGTTCTCATCATAATCGTACTGTATCAGTTCTCTGAAGCCTTCGAGAGCGAGAAGTTGAACCTGTTTAGTTTGTACATGAAAGTGTAGAGTTTACATGTACACATGCTTACTGTTATAATCAGACATCGACCTGCAGTTTCTGCTCCGGATTTCAGACTCTTCACGGATAGAGCCTCGAATGACAGTCCCTGTTAAAAGTACGCTCCCTGAAAGTAAGTGTGGCGTGTATGGAGCCCACTATTGAGCCCAGGGTAATTGTAGGCTAGAAGGAACATTTCCCTGGCCCTTCAGTTTCTCTCACGATCAATAAAGCAGCTTCCCTTGGAAGACACAAGGCTGAAACGCTGGAGTATTATCCCAAAATAAATTTCCATTCCTAACAAAAAAGGAATTACAGTTCATTAAACAAATGTACACTTCCCCATGAAATAAACTGATAGCATATACAGAAATTAAGTTGTACACTGTTTATGGGTCTTTAAACAAAAACAAATTGTATATTGCATACTTATGATTGTACATTGTTTAGTGTTCATTATACATAGGACCACACATTGCTGTTTACTGTACGTAGGACAATACATTGTGTACTGTTCGTTTTACATAAAACTATACTTTGTCTATTGTTTGTTTGAAATACTTTACATTATACGATATTTGCCGTTCCTTATGGAGTCGGGCGTGGCCTTGAAGTTTTATGCTGTATTTTGAGTTCGAGAGTCCATGCTTCTTAGCCCGTTGTAGCAAATTAGCGCTACGCACATTGGGAACGTGAGCGCGCAACAAATGTGACGATGAAATCTCATTATTCGATCATAATAGCCCTAAAGTTGACAGTGGATGCTTTTAACTACCTGTATTACCTCTAGACAATAAATTAAACTTTAGGAACGGTTAGTGAAGTAGCCCTTGTGTAGCTTTGTGCAAATGTCCAAACAACAAAGCTTTTCTTATACATAGAATTGACCGTTGTTTACCGTTCGTCATACATAGGATAAAACAGTGTTCACTTTTCGTTCTACATACGATTATACAGTGTTCACTTTTCGTTATACATAGGATTATACAGTGTTCACTTTTCGTTATACATAGTATTATACAGTGTTCACTTTTCGTCATACATACGATTATACAGTGTTCACTTTTCGTCATAGGTAGGATTATACAGTGTTTACTTTTCGTCATAGGTAGGATTATACAGTGTTCCCTTTTCGTCATAGGTAGGATTATGCAGTGTTCACTTTTCGTCATAGGTAGGATTATACAGTGTTTACAGTCGACACGGGATTACAAGTTGTTTTCTTGTAATTATACTTACTGTTAATTATGTACATGAATTATACTTTATTTTTATGTTATTGTGCATAGCTT